CTTCTTCCTTCTACATGTTTCCTTCTGTTATTTATTTTTGAACTAGAAGTCTTTGGTTTTAACAGAGAGAAGTTGTTCAACTAACTAGTTTAGCTCCTTCACTCTCCTTCCCTCAGTTTGATTTGTGATACTGAAATAGAGGGTAAAATTACTTTGTATATATGTGTATGTTTTGGGCAGCTCAGTGAGGCCGGTAAATCCAATGAAAGTCTCACATGGATGGTCATGCTAGGAACAAAAATTATGCTTATAGATTTACATATAAATAAAAACACAATGTGTATACCTGCCTTTACACATATGTGTAAAGTGAGTGTGTATGCGTGTGTGTGTGTGTGTGTGTGTAGGGAGGAAGATAAAGACTATGTGCTCTGGAACAATAATGTCTGTGTTTGAACCCTAGGTCTATCATAAGTTATCTGTGTAACCTTGGGCCATTTCTTAAACATCTGTGCTTCTTTCTCCTCATTGTTAACATAAGGAAAAAAATGGCATCTTTTTTCTCAGGGTTCTTGTGAGGTTTTAATAAATTAATATAAAAAAGTGCTTCTCAGTGAATGTCTGCATTTGGTAAATGTCAGCTATTTTTATTATCACATAGAATAAACTACAGATATATAAGATAAGGGGTTGGCCAAAAAGTATGTTTAATAAAATAAAAGACACATATTTCATTTTTACCAATAGCTTTATTGATTTGGCTATTTTGAGTATGTTGGCTTTCTTCCACATGGTATAATGTTGATTGTTCTCAATTAATGCCTCGATTTGATCGCTATCAACTTTAACTGGTCTACTTGACTGTGGAGCATTGTCCAGTGAGAAATCTCTAGCACAAAACTTCGCAAACCACTTTTGACATATTTGATAAGTCATAGCACCTTCTCCATACACTGCACAGATCTTTTTTTGCATTTCATTTCCATTTTTACCTTTCTTGAAATAATAAAGCATAATATGCCCAAAATGTTGCATGTTTTCTTCCATTTTAAACATTAAAATCACTACACAAAAATGCACCAATGTTGATGTTTTTTTTTAAAATGCACCCTGATATGACAGCTGTCACAATGTAATCTAACAAAATTGTTTCAGATGAAGGTAAAGACAACTAAGCACTACTGCATTCATGTTGCAGGAAAAAAACAACAACAAATGGGCTTTTTGGCCACCCAATAGATACTGCTTAGATTAGAGTTCTATTCACTCAACTAAAACTCCTTCCTAGCACCTGCTGAGTGCCCGGTGCCTCTCAGATGTGCACCCATGACCCTGCAAAGTCCTCCAGAGTGAGGACACAGTGGGCCTTCACCCTCAGTTTTCATCCTCCGTACCTTCACAGAATAGGCTGCCAACACCACTCTGGTTGGAAATGATGACAAAGGCCCTGGTCTGCACTAACCAGTTCTTCCTCACCCACTACCAACTTAGCTGTTCCGTGTGCCCAACAGGGAATTGCTGGGATCTGGAAGCACTTCTTTATCTCAGCTGCAATGGCGAGACTCATTCATGTGGCCCCTCAGTGTCTGGCAAGTACAGCCAATGTGGGCTTGTGTCTAGTCCTGGCAGACAGGACAAGCCTGATTTCTAGCAGAATCACTCTTGCGAAGGGCTTTACAGTTCATGACCTGCTTTGGTAATTGCCCTGTTCCTGTGAGGGAATACATATCATTCTTCCCATGTTATAGGTGAGAAAATTGAAAGTCTGAGATATTTACAACCTGCTGAGGGTTACACAGCATGACAAGAGTAATAAATGACCAAACTTGGGCTCAAAATCAGTTTTACCCAACTGCAGTATAATAAACTTTTCATTCATCTACTCACTCAACAAATATTTATTAAGGGCCTACTATGTACCAGGTCGTGCAGAGGAGCTGGCACCAAGTCTAACTCACAATGAAGATGCTAAGTCATTGAATGTGATTATGTGTGGTGGGTGCTGTAGCAGAGGAAGTGCATTGGGCCACCTATTTTGCTGGAGGCTGGAAATAAATTTAAACAGACACATCTGTGCCCACCCCTGCCTTTAGGGACCTATTGCTGCTCATACTCCATATCTGCCTTCTCATCTGTCCACCATTCCCCCTGGGCGGGGCCATCTGTGTGGGGCACGTGGGGTGCTCACTGACAGGAGCATGGGCAGGCTCCTCTGGGTGGCCCCGGTCAGGGCCGGGACAAGCAAGAATTCATGCAAAAAAAGCACATGAACAGGTGCAGCCCAGAGTGTTCAGCAACCTGCCAGTGGTGGGTCATTGCTGGGTGAGCAGTGGGGTAGGAGGGGAGGAAGAAAGTGGAGGTCACATGGCTGGGACGTTGGCAGAGGTCCACACATAAACAGCTGGCAGAAAATGCATGCTTTGAATTTCTGTTACATTTTGCCTTAGTGGGAGTGGCTCTTCTTGCTATGAAATTTAAGAATTTTATAAGGAATTTGTCAGAATAGTAAGGCAAACAAACACATAGCTATAGTAATATTTCCCATCACTTACTACTTACTGTGTCCTTTACGTACATATGCTGTTTAATTTTTACAATCACTCTGTGAGGTGGGTATTATGAAGTTGAGGAAGCTGAAGTTAAGTGGTGCACCCAAGGGAACACAGCTAGTAACTGGTAGAGGCAGAATTCAAACCCAGGTCTTTCTGACATCAGAGCCTCTTAACCACTGAATCACCCCCAGTACCATCCAGCATGGAGGCCATGGCTTCAGTTAATACATGGGATGAATTCTGCCTAAGAAAAGAGTGATAAGGCAGGGTTTTTAGCAACCATGAGGATTTGCCAGACAGCCAGTGGAAGTGAAGGCACCCCCAGTGGGGAAATAGCATGGGAAAAGACAGTGGCCAAAGTAGCCTGGGCGTTCAGGAAATCACCAATGGTGTGGTATCATCGGGTGCTGAGGAGGGAAGTAGTGAGCATGATGAGAGATGATGTTGGAGAAGCAGAGGCTTCTGCATCCAAGCATATCATCTACCCAGGGATGTAAATTGGGGTTTTTCTTATCCCCAGAGGGTATAGAGATAAGGGATGGGGAGCCATTGCAGGGTATAAGGACTAGGACTTTGGTGAAGGTATGCAATGTTATCATTTTTTCAGTTTCTTACAAAAACAATTTAGAGGCATTTTAGAAAATATGCTGGAGGCTGTCACCTGAGAAATGAGTTTGGAGACCACATATGTTTATTTTTCTGATCATGCACCCTCCTCAGTAAAGATATCTTCACAGCATATTCCCAATAGGTGTATGACCATTCACAAATGATCACAATACAGTTGTATTCATATATTACATGCATTAAGATATGCACAAAAAGTAAACACTGAAAATTATAAAAATAAATGGGAGTCCAGGGACTAGATGGAGGTGGTAGTTGTATAATATTGCGAATATTTTCAATGCAACTGAATTATACATTTTTAATGGTTAATGGTTAACCATATCACATCAATCTTCACATCAATAAAAATAAGCAAGTAAGCATGAATAGATGTTCAAGTCTTCTTCCATATCTTAGTGCATTTCTTTCCAGGCCATGTGTACTCATGCCCCTTTGTGGACTAGGTAGTGATGATGAGGCCTGGAGTCAGGGCCTGGCTGTGGGGGAGGAGATGAGAGAAAGGACTGGAGGTATAGTTTAAGAAGTAGAATTGACAGGGCTTGGTGATTGAAGGTTGAGAAGTACAATGGAGAAGGCAGGAAGACTCCATTTCTGGTTGGGATATAGGAGAAAGGCTTTACCTCTTGTCTCAGACCTATGCAGCCAATACTGTAGTAATTTCTCAGGATTGGGTGGGGCTGTTCCTAGGTATGTTCAGACATGAATCCAACCTGAGGATACAGGGAGTTGGCCCTATTTGGATGAGGATAACCGAGGGTCAAACCTGAAGGAAGCATATCAGCCAATAGCAAAGAAAGAGGTCAGAAGAAGTCAAACTCCGAGCGAGAAATGAAGAGCAAGTTAGAAACAAAGCAGGAAGGATTTCACAGGCCACATGAAAAGTGGAACAGAAGAATTACAGACTACGTCTTCATTTTGCCCATTTAAACCTTAGTGCCTGGCTGCGGGGGGGTATCCTGTGGGAGCAGCAGAGACTTGTTAAGTACAGACATGGGCTTGTGAAGTAGCATGTAGAGAGAGGAAAAGGCCACCATAGACAACATGATCCACTAGACTGAGAATGGAGACTGAGAAAGATAGAAACTAAGACATTGACAGAGGAATGAAAGCCTGACAATGAGAGATCACCTGACCAAAAACCAGAGGAACGTGGACTTATGCGGGACAAAGAGGAAGCTCCCAAAGGAGAGAAATGATCACTGGTGTCAAACACTACAGGGATAAATAAGACAGGACTGAAAATGTGTCCATTGGTAAGCTCCCTGGTGACTTAGTGAAAGCAATTCCAGAGACGATGTGTTAGAGGGAAAGAATGTGAGGTAAGAAACTACTGCTATTAGTTAACTAGTGAATGGAGATGAGGAGTTCGAAACCCTTCCAACAGAGCAGCCTTGGTTCATCTGATTTCTTATTGATGCTTTTTCTGCTTTCTTGGTTCATCTTTGTCCTAGAAAGTTCTAGAAGACAGTACCATACAGAAGAGAATAAGGCTTTTGGTTCTGGTCTCTTGGATATCTAGGCAATTAAGGAATGAGCAGAGTTTTGGACAAATAAGTATGCATTTAAATCAGCATACTTTAAGGGGTTCTTTTAAGGAGTCTGCATAGAGTTAGGGAGAGACACAGCCATAGAGAACTTCTTCCTTGGTTTTCATGACCACATTCTTCTGGTTTGAGTCAGGTGGTCCCCAGAATGGGGCCCAGGCTCCTGCCTCCAGCCTCTGGTAGATGTTGCCATTCAATGGGTGAGAGGAGACCAGTTGAATGTCTGGTGGGGAAGTGCTATTGGTTGGTTTAGTCACTCGCCTCCACACTTTCACATCCTCTAACAACACCTGCACACTTGAGTCCTGACCACACACACTCTTCCTGTTTATGAGAGAGTGCCATTCAGAAAGCCACCAGTGAGAAGGGAGTGCTGCACTCAGCCTCAGAAAAAAGAAGTTGAACGACGTATTTGGGAGAAAAAGAAAACGAGTGTGGGAGCTGAGAGGTAAGATCCAAACCAGAGAGCATCTGGGCTCCAGGGCTGTCTTGGGTGGGAAAGAAGTGACCCTTACTCTACACCCTTCAAGGGGCAGTGGGAGTAGCCTGGCCGGTGCTCCTCAGGGCTGGGCAGCCAGGAGCTCACCAATCTGCTCCAGGGAGATAATGCAGCCTCTGGTGAATGGCTGGGCAGACTGCAGAGGCAGACTTGGAATGTGATCAAAGAGTCCCAGAATTCATGTGGCCTAACATGTAATGAATACACGAGTTAGGTATGAACATGTTCACACACATTGAGGATGGTAGCTGGGCCTGTGGACCTTAGAAAAGGCATGCCTGACACTCATTTAGGCCATTAACTACACCTCAAAAAGAACCCAAGAAGGGGCCCCAGAGTGAGCCCCAGAGTATGATTTCACATAGGCTTGGGCACAGGAACGAGAGAGTGTGTGTGATTCACTCTGAGGCACCACCACTCCTGCAGAAATAACTCAGAACACACGACTTCCTTACCATCAGGGCTAACAGCACTATGTCCATATTCCTTAGATAGCATGTACATGTGCCTGTGTGCACACACATTTGTACACATAAGCACATGTATCATGTAATACAAAATAGCAGCAGGCACCATGTTGGTGAAACCAGAGAACTAATGATGTGATGAAGAATATTTTCCCCAACATGTGACTTCTTTTTTATTTAAGTCTTACATATGCAAAGGTGAAATCATGTTTGGATATGTGTTCCATAATCCTTTTACTCAAAGAGTTGAAAGGTCCATGAGATGAAAACTATTGAGTTAGTCTGGGACCTGATCTTGCAACAAGAACACCTGAAGACCAAACGTTAACTAACACCCACAACGGCAAAGGAAGGGAGTAAACCCACTCTGTGAGTCTTGGGTATACACACTTAATACCAAATCATTTTCTTAAAAATTAATTCTGCTTTTATCTAAAGCATTGTCCTAGGTGCTGAGTTGAGAAAGGCACCTTCCATTAATTAGAGCTGTCAAGATTTCCCATCTCACTGGTGAGGTGAGATTATCGCAGTGAAGATAACACAAACACTCACTATTCCAAGGTTTTGATTTTGTGTCTGTCGACTCTCTTCCCTTGCTTTGGATGTTGCCTGTCCTCAGTATTTAGTTATGTCATACATATTTTAAATCACTTTGCGTCTTTAAAATGGAAAAAAAATGTGTTGCTCCTTCACTAGACTTCTGGGTTCGAGTTCCAACTCCCACACTCACTAAGGCTTTAGGCAAGTTCACTACACTTCTCAGCATCAGGGTTCTGCATCTGCGATATGGGTACAATAGTAGTCCTCTCTCTTAAGTATGGGTGATGGCTGTGAATTGCTTGGTCTGGTACATTGATAGGGCTCAATAAGGGTTAGTGGCCATTATTGTCATTGTTATTATTATTGTTATCACCACCCTTTGTGCAATCGAGACTTGAAGAGAAGTGGTAGGAAGGTGGGACAGAATGAGGGCGAGAGGTGGGGATGTGTAAGCTTGCCTCCTGCCTCTTGAGGCTGGCAGAGGCAGCGCTCCTTCAACAAGTCACTTTCTTTTCCACGCCTCAGTTTCTTCATCAGTGAAGTGGATGTAATAACCTATCCTAGATACTTCATAGGGTCTTATGAGATTCCAGTGAGGCTACACGTATAAGGAAAAAAATGGTGAAAGTGACTTTCAGTAAAGGCAAGTTAAAAGAAGAGTACAAATGATCTTGGTTCTTAATGATACATCATTAAATATGATTTCACTCACTCTTTTAAATGGCTTCTTTGCACTCTCTGGTAATGGTATTTCATAATTTATTTAACCAGGCCCATATCTGGAAAATTAATTTATTTCCATTTTTAATATTCCAAATCAAACAGTAATGACTATTCTACAATTCCTTTTAGTGTAATCATTCTATCAGTTCTTTTAATTTTGCAAACCTGATAAGGACATGGTGTCATCTCATTTTTGTTTACATTGCCTTTTTTTTTATTATGAGTGAATTGACTCGAGTTGTAAAATGTAGCTTTGCAAAAAGCTAGAAATACTATGTCTCATCCAGAAACAGCCCAAGCATATGTTCCTTTTAAAGTGAAGAAGCATCATTTTTCTTACGATTATAATACAAGCAGGTATTTGCATACAAATATAAACCTATTAAAAAGCACCTTGCAGAAACATTCCTCTTTATAGCTTTTATTGGTGCTAAAAATGGGGTTGTAATGAATACAAGACAACTAGACTCCCGCAATAACTAATAAACATGACAATTTGATTTATTGCTGTTCCTCTGCTGTAGCCTGTTGACAGATTTTTCTTTATGGAAAAATTACCATGGTTTAAATCTCTATCATATGGCACTTAATTCAATCAACAATATGTTACCAATTAGATCCTGGTTAAACTACCTTCAGCCAGCAGACCACGGAACATGTTAAGTAGGATGACAATCAGATAACTAGCAAAATGCTTTGTGGCAGCTTTCTCAGGAACAAGGGGCAGCACTGAGATAATGGATAGTACAGAGAGAAAGGAAAAACAGCATTTACTTCTCCCCATCCTGAAAAAAGGAAATGTTTCAAGTTCTCCTAGAAGTATACAACGAGTTTGTGTATGACTTGATAGTTGTGTAAGTTGATATTTGCTAACTCTTCCTATCCCTCCATCCTCTTGACCCCTTTGGTGATAAATTTGCAAACTGAAAGGCATTCTGTTCCAAAATCCTCTCTAATGTGACAATGCGTAACTTTAACTCAGCCTCCCATTGAGTCGCATTTTACAATTTCACCTTTCCCCCAAGCCCTGGATATTGGCCATGGTAAGAAAGAATGCTTATTAAATGGGACGAGCCTCTTTTCTTATTTTTCTTCTTGGAATTTTGCTGTGTCAGACAGTAATCTTGTTGCAAGAGAGAGAAACCCAATTGAGCTGTGCTGAACCAGACGGCAATCATTTGGAACAATTCTGGGGGCTGAGCAAGTGAGGGGATCCAAAAGTCAGGCAGCCAGAACCAGTAAGAAACCCATTAAAAACCAGTTATGGAAACATGAGCACAGTCTGGGTCACATAATGTGGCCTCCACTATAACACACGTGATCTCAATTTTCCCCACATTGGGGCATCACTTACATAAAATACAGAATCCCAGAAAGAAAGGAGAGAGTGATGAGCTGCATCCAGATCACGTTCCTGTCCCCAGGGAGAGGTCAGATCCATCCTTTTGACTTCAGGCCCCATCTCAGGGAGGCATCTCCCAAAACAAGACTGCAGTGGTAATAGGAAGGGGTGGGTGGTTGGAAGGTGACAGCAAAAATGACAAATGTCTTCCACATGGTTACAGCACAGCAATCTCTGGGTAGAGGCTGGTTAGTTAGAGATATGAGAAAGCAGCCATTGGTTGTTTGTCCAGACAGGTGCAACCAGGGAGAAGTAGGAGACTGACCCCACTACTTCCTGCAACCTCATCCTGGTCACTTTACTTCTTCAGCTGAGAGTGGAGGATGACCAAAGAATTTTCTCAAGAACCTTGGCAATGATCTGGAACACTCTTCTAAATCAAAGTAGTAAATACCATTTCTTCTAGCTCCTACTATGCCTAGCACTTTACAGTAATTTTCTGAGTTCCCACAATAGCCCCACCTGTTAATATGTTACATTCAATTTACATATGGAGAACAGAGGCTCTAAACTGTTAAATGACCTGGCCAAGTGCATACAGTTAGATGTGGAGTTCAAACCCAGGCTGTCCAGCCCTAAAGCCTTCCATGAACCTGCCTTGGGGTGATCCCGAGTGCAGGCTGCACAGCGGCAGGACATGTGTTATTACTTTAGTGAAACCCCTTTTCCTCCAGGATACCACAGTGTGTGTGAGTGCATGTGTGTGCTCAGGCGCACATAACCATGAAGAATGCTGAGAGGAAAGTTATGGAAAAACATCCCATATGTTATAACTTTGCCTGGGCTGTCCCTGTTTCTAAATACCATGACAATATTTTTTGAAGCAAAGATCAAAGGACATGTGGTCTGACTCATGGGTTAACAAAGGGAAAAAATATTTGAAATAGGGAATTTCTGGGACAATTTGAGAAGTGTGGCTACAATCGTTCCCAGAGCACCTGGAAATCATGGAGTTCTCTGGGAAACACTTTGAAATACTGACATAGTCAATTCCACTCTCCAAACTAGGATTTTATCAGCAGAAATTAGGCAGCCTTATGGACTGGCTATATGATTCCATAGCTGTGCAATTTCTTTGCCTGTAAAAATAACAAAGGTGTTGAAATATGTTTGCATAACCTATAAGATCATTAGAATCACTAAAAGAATTTTTATAGAGAAATAGATTTCTTACAGCAAAAATAGACAGTAAGAAAATGCAATGGGGAAAAAAGAGGATAAAATTCACAAAAGCCACTAAAATTTAAATACGTAGAAAAGAACTTAAAACACATGAGACCCATATATTTTTCAAAAATCTACTTAGAGATATAAAACATAGATGGGAACATATACCATGTGGAGAGTAGATAAGCAGACAATATTAACTCTCACCAAATCAATTTGTATGCAAAAATACATATAAAATAAAATTTCCAATGCATTTGGGAAAAAAGAGGACTTAATAAAATTCCAATCTAAAATTCTGGTGAATTTTAATTTAGAATTACCAGGATATTTTTGTGAAAAAGAAGAAAAGGTGACAGGGCGAGGTTGCATGGAGCTTGTTTTGTCAAGTATGAAAGTTTCAGTGGTTGTGTAGTTCCAGACGGATAAACAGATCAGTGGGAGAGAAGAGAAAGTAAGTGTGCACATGTTCACACATATGCCAATTTAGCATATGATAAAAGCACCTTTTTGAATCAGTGATACTAAGAATGAACACAGTAATATGAAGAATGGTCAGTCCTCATCAGATTGGGTCTTCAGAGGATCTGACACAGTTACTCACACCATCCTCATTGGAACACCTTCCTTCTCTCCCTCCAGAACACTAT